TGGTGACGAATAATCACTTTGTCATAATAACAAGTATAAATGACGAAACAAATTTGTCACTAAACTTGTTCCATATTTTATATTTCAATTTCAATTTCAATTATTATTTCAAAAATATCGCTGCTCATATTCCAATAGCCTTTTAATTATACTAAGAAATCTACTAGCTATTATACATCACTCCACACAAAAATTCACTAAACAATTTATATTATAAATCAAAATATATCCATCAAACAACTTTAATAATATAAACCATTAAGTATAACAACAAAACCATCATAGCAAATTCTAAAATGAACTATCGCGGAGTCCACAAAAAAAATAAAAATAAATAACACTCGATCTTGATTTGCAACTAGAACTAAGTATTAGTCTAGGAAAAAAAATTCGAAACTTGATCTTGATTTGCAAGTATATTTCCATAAGTCATCAAAAACCAATCTGCAAAGAAAATAAACAAGAAAAACATTAGAGATATAGAAGGGGCATTCCCCAGGCCTTACAAAAGCAAACTAAAAAAAGTAGAGCCATACAAGAGAAACAAAACCAAACAGATAAACTAAACTAAATAAACTATAAAGAGAATCATCCTAAAATAAACCACACAAAGGAATGTTCGTTTGCCACATGAGGAAACAAGAACATTCAACAGAGTAGCCAAAAACAATACAAAATACACTTGCACAACCCTTAAGAGAGAAAAAGCAAGCAAAACTAGAGAATAAACCCAAGAAAAGCGTTGCATAAACAGCACTAGCAGCAACCACACAGATACATCTGCAGCTTTCTTCCCTACTCCCAGGTTGATGCTTTTCCTTCCTCAAGCTACTGAAACACTTGCATGGATCCACCCAAAAGGAAAAGGCAAATATTTGTCTCGGACTTCAAAAATTTCTTCTTCATTCAAGGTCTGACACTGAACATTAAAAAATGTATTGATAAGTATCATTCAAATTATCAGTAGCTACAAATAAAAAACTGCAAACCTGAAACCAATGGCCCACATGGACACTACATGACATGCTGCAGGTATGGGGTAGGACTCGACATCAATAACACACACATAAACTTTCTATAAGATTTGATGCCACTGTTGTGGAACAGCTATGACTGAGAGTTCCCTATGACTTTTGAAGTGTTTTCACAACAATAACAACAAAAAAAAAATTATTCTACTGTTATTTTTTTTTTTCAAATATCAAGAGACTAACCACGATATTTTGCCCATGTTTTAAAATTGCAACTTATCAAAAACTATTTTCATCAAAACCCTTACCTTAAATTGCTTTCTTTCATAACCACCTCACCTCCATTTTAGGACACATTAACCAGTGAGGAATGTTGCTTCATTTGTATCGGTGGCAAAAGCATGATAAATATATCAAAATGGAAAATGGGACTATTCTGGCTTTTTTAGATATCATATCACTTAATCATAGAACCTTAGTTCTACCAAAAAAATACGTACTCGATTTGCAATTAGCTAGTCATTAGTTTCAAGTTGACAACATCAAAAACTGACAAAGCTGAAATATCAAGACAAAAATATACAAGACTTAAAATTAAAAAGAAAGAAGAGAAAGCAGGGGAGAACTAACAGCACCACAATAATTAACACAACACAGAAAAACTATTTTACCGAATCTGAAGTTGACTCTTGCTTTAGGACTATCAGTGTAGTGATATGGAACACCCTGTTTTTCTACAAAATGTGATCAAGTACATAAGTAACCACGAGTATAAAATATCTAAACATAGTTATCATTTTCTTTTTGTATTCACAAATCTTGTACCAATTACCAATGAACCAGCAAGAACACCACATGTTTCTAAATTTTTTGCAGTATTTTCTCGTGCCAATCTCAAAAAATCATCCATCATTTTTACTGGCTGCAATGAAAGTTAAATGAAACTAGCATCTTGTTCAGCAATAATAAAAAATCAACATAAAATGTTATGTAGGCATAAAATTGTAATCAAAACAGAAATTGCCAAAAACTGTGCGAATTGTGTTGTCAGAGTTATGATCAAAATTCAGTACACAAAACCTTGGGTTACATAAGATTTGTGAATTATGCGAATTGTAGTGGGGAGTAAAAGCAAGAGTACCCTTGGGTTACATAAGATTAACGTTTATTGATATTCATGGTGCATGAAAGAGAGAATTCTCTTGAAATCAAAGAGTTTGAAGGAGAAGACACCCACTCTGATTTTGCTATGGAAACATTGTGAGACTAAGTCTTTTTTCAATACCTGCAAGTGCACAAACATTAAGACCTCGAAATTGTGTAGGCAAGTGATCATGATGCCATACAATATATACATAACCTGAAAATGGTTTTCCCAAAACTAAAGTTATAAACCAACTCGCACATTGCCAAAACTCATTTCCTCTAGTTGCAATTTCACAGAAATGAGCCAAAGGCCCAATTTTCCAACACACACAAATCGTTCCATCAGAATGTGTAACCAGTAACTCACATTGACTTGCCAAAAAGTAGGAGTGAAAGAAATCTGAGAACTGCTGGATTACCTGCTCAGCAATATGTTCATCAATCCAACGATCCAGCTCACGGTCAGCAATATGTTCAAGCAATTGTGAGTCGCTCTTCAAGGATCCTGTGGAGTTCTTGAGTCCAAGGAAGACGATTGGGGATTTCACGTCACTCACAATCTTGAGGCCGTGTATATTTGACAATCCTGCAATTGCCAATATAAGAGACAAATGGTTAAGACCGATCAGATAAAAACAATTTAGTTCTGTTGTTCTATTTTGACTGAAAGGTGAAAGCCACACATACCCCTGAATTGGTAACCAACACCTTCAGCAACACTTGAAAGAGCTAGCAAAGATGCAGGATAAAGAAGTGCTAGTACCACAAACACCTACTGTTTGGTAACATTGACTATTTGTTGTTTTTTATTTACACACAACATTAAGCATGTTTGTCATATATATATATATATATATTTATAAGAATGAAGGTAAAAAAACACATGTTTGGTACAAGGGAGGGGTGGCAGGAGGGGGTCAGAGGTGGAGGGGGACTCGCCGGAGATGGTGACCAATGGGGCCAGAGGTGGAAGGGACAAGCCGGAGGTGGTGACTGGCAGCCAAAAGTAGTGGTCGGTGACTTGGGTGGTGGTCGGATGGGTCGCTAGCAATATTGATAGGCTGTGGGTGGTGGCAGGAGGAGGTGGGGAAGGGAGAAAGGAATGAAACCTTGTTTTAAAACAAATAAAAATAACTTTTTTGTTTATAGAATTTAGTAACTTTTTGTAAACTAAATGAATTTTTTTTTTTAAACGAAAACAAATGGCAAACAAGTTTTTATTTCCAATTTTCAATTTTTTTGCAAATATAAGCAGAAAATTGTAAACATAAAGGTTATCAACTAGATTAACATTTTTCTTATGCTTTCTCTAGCTGCAAGTGGTTGATTTACATAACCTCTAAGCATCACATGTGCAACCAGACTAAGAGGTCCATGCATCCAACAATAGATCAATATATCAGTGACACTGACTCATTTGATGCCAATGGAGCTACAAGATTTTCCCGAGTCACTTCGAGATAGTAACATAGGCACTTTATAAGTGATCTCAAGTTGAGGATAGCTGACACATCAACCATATCCCCAATGAGTACCTAGCACTTCGATATAGATTAAAAGAGAGTGAAAATAAAACAAACCTTGGCATAGTACAACAATATTTTTGTTCAGTTTCGTAATAAGATCAGGATTTTCCTCTAGAACATCAATAGCAGTAATAGCAGCAGTTGGAAGATACGGAGATAAGGAAGCAGAGAAGACATAACCAGAACTACTGAGACGCTGCAAACCTGTAACATGTCATCAACAATTAAGAATAGAAAACTAGGAAAAAAAAGCACTAATATCAATCAGTAAATAAACAACTACATAGACACGGAATTCTGATTATAAAAAATAAAAAAAAAATTCTTCCAAACAAGGTTCCCTTTTTCAAGTGGTGGTAATTTCATACTTGATGAGCAGTGACTCTAACGCTTCCTACGCGGCAGAATCCTCCTTCCGTGGCCAATGAATGTCCCATGGAAGCAGTTATGATATCTACCTTCTCAATCTACACAACCAAGTACCAACACCATCATAAAACCACAAATTGAGAATTCATGAACTGACTAAATCTAAAATATCTTCAAAACATACCGGAACCCCATATTGCTCGGTGGTACCTCTTCTGAAACTGCCAAGCACACCAAAACAGTTGCTCTTATCCAATAAGACACGGAAACGATATTTCTCTTTCAGTCGGATGATCTCATCTAATGGAGCAATTTGACCTGAATTATGCAAATTGAAGAAATCTGTCAAAACATTAACATTTCCCAATCCTGCACGGGAAACAGAAATGCAGGGTATACATGATAATATGGTATTAGTAAATAAGAAAACTGTTAATTGTCAATACTAGTATGATGAAAGCTACAAGATATGTTATCAACATAGTAAAATTAAAGCATAATTGCCAAAAGATACCTGGTACACAGCTTCAACCACAATATAGCGCCTTAGCTTCTTAGCTCGCTTATTTTCTACAGTAACTTTCTCCGAAGTACTTGTAGAGACTCAATATGGTATTAGTAAATAAGCAAACCGTTAATTGTCAATACTAGTCTGATGAGAGCTACAAGATATGTTATCAACATAGTAAAATTAAAGCATAATTGCCAAAAGATACCTGGTACACAGCTTCAACCACAATATAGCGCCTTAGCTTCTTAGCTCGCTTATTTTCTACAGTAACGTTCTCCGAAGTACTTTGTAGAGACTCCATGTCATTGTGCTTGAAATACACAATTGTACTTCTGGAAAGATAAAGGCCATTTTGTATTCCCCAGTGGACACCCTCATCCTAAAAAATTCCCACCCCCAGCCCAAATAAATAAATCAATAAGAAAAGCTCTAAAATAGAGAGAAAAAAATTAACCTCATATACATGGCAGATTGCAAAGCCAAACCAATGCTAATTTTAAGGGACCCAAACAAATGTGCCAATAACTACTCATATTACCATGTATATGCATAAATGTTTCCAAAATACAAATTAATAGACGTTCTCAAAAAACTAAACAACAAAAAGAGAAAGCAAATTGCCAATTGATCGTGATTGATCCAATATGGCACAACCATTTAAACCATTGATCAGTATTTTTATTATAGCTGAATGGCTTATTATAAGCTCATGATATAAAATATCCATAGCTTAATATAAACTCAAATGATTATATTTACATCAACAGAACACAGTCAGCTAATATGCAGTCTTAGCCCTCTTCGCTCTTTTCACAATCATATTACAGCAGGTAAATTTAGTCAAGAAACGATACAAAAGCAATAACATATCATTATGTTTTCATATAACAATATTAGCACTTTCAACGACTAACTAAATAAAACATAGTCAACCATTGAACAATACTTGTCATGCATTCTTCAATAGTAACCTTTGTAGGAAAGTCCTTGTAGCCTTAACGCTGTGTGTGGTTTGGGAATTTGGAGAGGGATTTGGAAAGAGAAAGGGAAACACAATGTAAAAGATTTATGCCATACCAAATGAAAATTAATAATTAAACAATAAAGATAATATTCACGCAACAATAATATCCCCTTTCTTAGAAAAAGATAGAATTGCACTGAACATGGTGGAAAGTCCATAAGGATATAATATGCAATCAAGAGTTCCCAAAAACTTAGCGATTCTGGATTCACAATCAAGGTGGACATCTATGCAAAATAACATAGTTAGAACGGTAATCATTTTCATGCACAAGACAAGGAGATAATTCAATTTAGTTAGTTATGGTTTGTAAATATAGGTGGTGTTTGGGAAGCAAGTTCCCAAATTTTTTTCTCATTTTTTCCACTAAAAGACAAAAGTTTTGCAAAACCAAAAAAAACACATCCAAACAAAATATCACATCCAACCCCATAATCATTGGATTTTGTTAGGATATTGATTGGCTAGGGTTTTAGGTTTGAATAGTTTTATTTGGGGTTATAAATTGTACTATAGTAACTAGGGGTTTTTGTGGACCAGATTGATTCGGTTTTGGAGTGGACCTACGATTGAATCGGTCCGTACCGTTCCATAAATTTTGGATTAGAATCAGACCACTGAAGATATGTATCTGAGCTGTAGAAATCGGTTTGATTCCAAGTATCTAGGCTATTTTGTTCCATAAAATTCCAATTATCAATCAACATAAAACTGATCTATTGCAACAAATAAGGCAACAACTTAAATCTAGTTGATTTCAACAAATGGAAAGAGAAAGATTGCAACATTTGTAGCTGAAACAAAACGACTGAAAATCCACCTTTCATTCAATTTGAAGTATAATATATATAAAGCTTAGAACAGATATATATAAACCTAGATATATATATATATATATATATAAAGCTTAAAAATTACCCAAAAAAGATTTTCATAGACTAACTGTTGTTCTTCTTTTTCCGTTGTGGTCCAAATTCGAACCTCCTAGACCTGCAAATCACTGAAAATTATTAGTAGCATGCACTCAATTGCAGCCTTCGAAGGGAGGAAAAAAAGAAAAAAGAAAAAGACAATTGAAAATATAATATATAGCTCCAAAAACAGGGTACATATTAGCAACAAACTAAACCCTTAAGCGTTAAAAAATAATAAAAAAAACTAAATACCGAGAAATCCTTTGTAGAAATTGATTGTAAACACGATTGTCAGATCAAAACGCAAGAAAAGAAGCGTGGAACAAAATAGAGAGAAAAATAAGAGAGAAAAGTGGGATGTACTAATGAGAAGAGACAAAAACCTTTGGATCTGGTCTTTTGCAAACCTCAACCTCGACCTCTCTTGAGAAAACCCTATCTTTCTTATTCTGCATCATCATTTCCTTTGAGAGAGACAGAAATTCGAAATCAAGAGAGAATTTTCTTAAGTGTGATCTTTAAGCATTTTTATAGTAGTGAAAGCATTTAGTAATTTATGAATAATTATTAACCTTGAATCATTTTTGTTTTGATCAGCAAAACAACAAATATTTAATTAAAAATTGCAATAATAGCACACATATAACTACCCCTCTGCTAACATCATTTGATATCTTAATTATCTTTTCAACTTCTTCAACTCTAAAATAGAACTGGAATTGAAGAGGGAATATTAGATATAAAAATAAAATTTAATATATATATATATATATATAATCGCACGTTAATTATAAGTGTGATTAAAAAATTATATATAATCACATATAATTAAAAAGTGATTTAAAAAATAAATCTTATCCTACTTAATTAAATTAGGTGTGATTAAAATATTGATTTGAGTTTTTCAATCACATTTTCATTAAAAGTGTCATGTTTTAATTTCTGTAAGTGTAATCTTTAAGTATTTTTGGAGTAGTGACTTTTATCAACTAATATAATTGTTGGTTACCAATTCCACAACTTTTGCCGATTAAAGTTTTTTAGTCGCCAAATTTGATTGTCAAAAGTGTAATTTCCTGTAGTGTAGGTTACTTAGAGAGCTAATTATCTTGTGTTTTATTTTGAGAGAGATAGGGGAAAGCAATACTGATAAAAAAAAAATTAAAAAGTTAGTAGTCTATTTTTTTTCATTTCCGCCCAATATGTCAAAATTTTTCTCCAAAATTAGTGACAAAATAATTTCCTCACTAAAAAGTCTCAAAATATTAAAAATTATTACTGAAAAAAATATATTTCTCAAAAAATTCGTCACTAAAATATTTAAAATCAAGTTTTTTAAAAATATATATATAAAAAATTATTGGTGACGAAAATATATTCTTTACTAATAATTTTATAATTTGGGACAAATTTTTTTCTCACCACAAGTCTCAAAATTTTGGCACCACCCAAAAAAAATTTAGCAAGAAAACCTTAGGTGACGAAACTTAATTTTTCCTCATCTAAAAAGAAGTATTTGTTGACGAAAATAAATATCGTCACCTATTATTTTTACTTTTTTATTATATGTGATAAAATTTTATAATTCATTACGGATTATTCTTATTTAGTGTCGAAATTTGTTTTCTTTACTACTTTTCATCACGATAGGTTATTTTGAGAGCTAATTAACGTGTGTTTTGTTTTGATAGAGAGAGGGAGAAAGGAGACGAAAACTGATAAACAAAAAAAAAAAAAGAACGGATTATTCTTATTTAGTGACGAAATTTATTTTCTTCACTACTTTTCGTCACGATAGGTTACTTAGAAAGTTGATTAACTTGTGTTTTGTTTTGAGAGAGAGAGGAAAATTGATAAAAAAGAGAGAGAGAGAGAGAGAGAGAGAGAAAGATCGTAGTCTATTTTTTTTTATTACCGCCCAATATGTCAAAATTTTCCCTCCAAAATTAGTGATAAAATAATTTTCTCACTAAAACGTCTCAAAATATTAAAAATCATTACTGACAAAAATATATTTCTAACCAAATGGCCTTATAATATTTAAAATCAAGTTTCTCAAAAAAAAAAAAATATATATATATATATATAAAATTATTGGTGACGAAAATATATTCTTCACTAATAATTTTATAATTGGTGACAAATTTTTTTCTCATCAAAAGTCTCAAGATTTTGGCGCCACCAAAAAAAATTGGCGGGAAAACCTTCAGTGACGGAACTTAATTTTTCCTCACCTAAAAAAAAGTATTTGTTGATGAAAATAAATTTTGTCACCTATTAGTTTCATTTTTTTTATTATATGTGACAATTTTATAATTCATCACGAATTATTCTTATTTAGTGACAAAATTTATTTTCTTCACTACTTTTTGTCACCATAGATTACTTTTGTTGTAGTGCATAAAAGACGTGCATCACGTAAGCCTAGCTGAGAGAGAAGTATAACATTAATCTATGTAAAATAAGGTATACCTTTTATGAAGGAATAGCTTATCTCAAGTTGCTTAAATTTTACATGAAGAAACAAATTCTGCAAAAAATAGGAGTAGCTTTAAAGCAAGTTGCGAAACATATCACTACCACATAGAATCTATTAAGTTCGTGACATTCCATCTAATGTAACACAAAGAACCTTCAGCATCCAAATTATTGTGCTAATGTTCAACACTAGAATGGAATGAGAAAATAAAGCAAATAACAAAACCACAGAATCAATCAGGACAATCACAATAGAGTCTTAATTAACGGACAAGAAATGTAAACCTGAGGATAAAAGAACAGCATACCTGCAAGAGAATTGATTTTAAGTCAAACTAACAAGTAAAATTGGTACATTGAGCTAAATGAAGCGAACTATGATAGTGATGATAACAAATGACACTTAGTTATCTTGATGAGGTATGCTGATGGTGGGCATATCAGTACCCTACAAAGGCAAATGCACACAAGGCATTGGCCGTGGACCTGGATACCTGATGTAATATTGAAGTACACTAAAAGACAACGTATCCACTCCAGTTGTAGAAAAATCACATTTACGCATGTGTTGTTACAATGAAATAAAAATCGACAACTACTGAATGTTAGACAACAGCTAAAGTGAAATCTAAAATCCTTATCATCTACGAAGATAAAATGAAAAAAAGCACCTTGACCTAATCACCCGGATGAACAAATGATGGTACACAGCTTTAAGCATCAACTATAACAAAATGGTAGAAAATTCAATACGACACTGTAGAACTTCAAATTCCATTTGTCAGAGTGAAAAACTGAGAATTCAAACTTGCTTATAGAAGACAAATTTCAATTGATTGCCCGGTTATTGGTTTCAAATTAAATAATAGTATAAATAAGAAATATTCATAGTTTGAAAAAAGTACCAAATTTACCACACAACCAGTAAGTACAGAGAATACAAATGTAGTTGCCTAAACAATCACAGTAGTTATCAACAAGAAGTTAATAATCTAAAATGAGATCAAGACACTAACCTTAACAAGAAGGCTGAGGAACCGTGACTTAACCCAACCCACCCATTTTCCTAACTAATCTTGATCAGAAGCTGCAAGACATATTTTGACAAATCGTGTGTACTTTTTTGTATACGGAAAAGGCTCAAATAGGCATGCCCAACCAAAATCTGGTCTCAGGATAACCTGCAATGCCAAGAAAAAAGATAGCTTAAGCAAATCCATATATTACTAATAATAAAAATAATAAAACTACACTCTCAGATTCCAAAAATACATCACAAACAACCATTAAAAGTAGTTATTAGTAAAAGGTACAGGAGATATTATAATAATGATATCCATTTAAAAAATGAAAGGTACCTTTGTCAAAGCATGCCCTCGGTGAAACTCTGTCCTAATTCGGTAGAAGGTGCTCTTGGTGATATTAGAATGGCAATATTCATGTGGTCTGCATGGAAGTCTAATGGGCATCAAGAACCGTATTTCACTGGCACTTATAGTCATGGGCACCATCACATCTTGCAGAATTACTGGAGTTCACCAATCCCAAAAGGCAAACGTCTTAAAGAAATTCAAAATCAAACCATTCAAGCTCACATTTGGGTGCCTTTCACAAATAAATGCCGCAAGAATAGCTAAATGGACTCCTCCAAAAAACACAAGTAACTGCACATACGTGTATAATTAATAGGATTCCTTTACCCTTGACAGAGGCTATGGGAGAACATATAAAGACAAATCTCAAATGTGACCCTATACCAAGCTTATATGCCCTTACATTACCATACACTCCTCGCCTTTTCGCCCATAATTTAACACATCGCAGTGGTGATTTGAATACCTGGAATAGAACAATCCGAGAATATATGAGACCTACAAGAACTCTGAAAGCACCACCTAGCACACACAAAATGAGAGCTGAAAGAGAATGATTATCATGTATATATTAATATCAAGGTGGCAGCAGTTTTGAAAACAAAACCCCACAGGTATTCATGGTTTGATGCCATAGAGAGCATGCTAATAAGAATTAGCTAAATTATTTCCTAATGCAGGTGCAAAATTCAAGAAATAGAGACAAATTCTGCTCTGGCATTCAACCATGAAAACCAGCAAAACTACTTTGCACCTAGAACAAAAATAATTACCGTAGGAACCCATAGATAGCATGCTTGATACCTCCATGTTCGGGAGAAGTCGAAGAATGCATTTGTTAGCATGAACTCCAGACAAACTTCTCCAGCTGGTTTCATCAATGTTGCTTAGAAAGAAAGGGTTGAGTATGTCCACATTCTGCAAATCATAACATGGCAACTCAAATCTCCAACAGGAAAAAAAAAACACAGAAGAAGAACAAATAATGCACAGAGTTTATATAACGAGATTGTTGAAATACTAATTTCCAACATGCTGATGAAAAGAATGGGGGAATTTATTAAAATCAGCACCCAAAAAATAAAAATAAAAAGATCTCTTGACAGGTATAGTTTTAGATAGAGAAATCTACATACATGAGATCCTTGTGTATATGCAGAAACAACTGTAGGAGTTGACTGTTTTGAAAGATTTGGTTCTACATGCATCACACTCAGCTCAGGAACAAACATTACTTTAAGTTGAGCACATGGAAGATCAATTGAAATCCCAAAAAAGAAAAAAACTC